CCACCCCCCACCTGCCCTGCTATCTGCCACCCCACTGCCTCCTCCCCTACTAATGCTTTCCTCACTGCAGTGGTTGTAAGGATGAATTTAAGATCATCCTCCAATAATTAGATTTTATACATGGAAAATTATAACAACTTATCAATGTTCCATGTTTATAATCTAATTATTGGGGGGGGCTGTCTTAAATTCAGGGTTGTCTTAGATTGGGGTATACATGGTATTCTAAGTTCCTGATAAACCCTGTAAATTCTGGCTCTTGTCATTCTCCTGTTACCTGTGACTAACTGCTCCCAAACTGTTCAATAATCCCTATCAGTACTTAAAGCAGAGATAATTTATGATACTGTTTGCCTTACAAGCTCAGTTATCCTGAGTAGACAGTGAGGGATGCGATGTGCCCTCTGTAGCTGCCAGAGCCTAATGTCAACTGTAGAATGGTCGAGTGTAGAGGAAGGCTATTCCACAGGCACCTTTCATATCCATACCATGTTTTCTACCCCTTGCATTCCATGAGTAGATAAATATACTGGTAATTTTTGTGGGAATTTGCAGACCATTTGATTCTCGAGTGTAATAAATGAAGAAGCATATCTAAGCTGTACATTTTTTTTAAAGTCCATGTAATTCCATTTTTTCTGAAAAAGGTAATATTGATTGAAAGTATGAATAGTTTATAAACTGTGCTATTAATTCTATGGGCACATCTGACATCATTTTTGTTTCATCAAAATCTAAACCCCTTTTTTACAGAAAATGTAACTGAGATATGGATTGGCCTGAGCAGCAACAAAACCCCAATTGTTTTTGAATGGTCTGATGGCTCCTTGGTAACCTTCACCTCATGGCACCAAGAAGAACCTAATATTTTTCAAAGAACAGCTCCATTTTGTGTTTCAGCACAAGAAGTTGTAAGTTTTCTTTTAGATTGTCTTTTAAGGGAAGAAAACCTTGTGTGAACAATTTTTGGTCATGATTATGTTTTTTTTTCCATTTGCATATATTTTCCAAGCCTTAAACTCTGTAATAACATTGGCGGTTGATGCACAATGTCTCATAGTCTTGGTAAATATGAGAGAGCCTTATGAACTGCCTTTTTAAGGCTGTGACGGATGCCCAAACTAAACAGAAGCAATGGGATAAGACCCTTAAAGAAATGGGAACAAGTGTAGTGCTTGCCAAATGGAAGAGGACAACAATCAGTGTGAAGCAAGTTTCCTTACAACAAAGAGAAAATAATGTTAAATCTATGTAGAGTACGTTCTAATTTATGATGTTCAGCTTCTTGACTTGAAAGCTCCATGGAAATATTTTGAAACAGTGAACCAGTTTCTTGTTACTCTGTTCTCAGTATTTTAGGCATTTATGCAGCATCTTGTAAAAACTGACACCAAGGAGCTGTATAAATGGTCCAATCCCACTTCTACTTGAAATCAATGGGAATTTTGCCATTGATTTTAGAAGAAGCAAGCCCAAGTTGAAGCTATGTCTGAAATTGTGAGATTAAGGGTGATAGATACCTGCATACATACTAAAAAAGAAAAATCAATACAGATAAAATACAATTCATGGCATTCAAACAAGGCTGGCAAAAATGCTTGTCAATTTTCTAATTCAAAATACTTGTATGCTGCATAAATTTATTAGCATAAACTATTTTTTAAGTGCATTAATGACACTATATCAGTAGCAAAGTATCTTTTGTCAGAAGATTCACTGATCTGTATAATTCTTAGAGTTTCTATCTAGTGTTGGTAATAATGGGTGTAATCCTGCGAAAACAGTCATACCATTAATTTTTATCCATGAGAGCAACTCCACAGAAATAAAGGCCTACTCAGGTTTACAGTGAAGATCAGGCCCAATATCTGGAAGCTGAATACATTTTAAAATAAAATTAGAGTTAAGATGCGTAGGGCCATTTTTATCCTGTTTTGCTTAGATGTAAATGATGACAAACAGTGCAAAGTATTGGAAATTCTGACTCAGTTTTCAAAAACCTTTAAAACAAGCGAGTTAAAATCATCCGAACCCACAGGCTGAATGAGTGGTGCAAGACCTGTCCGCTGACCAGATCAGGCCCGTGGGCAAATTTTCTTTATATTGGTACCGATCCGATATCAGACCGATGTATCAGTGCACCCCTATGGCAAATTCTTTGTCTTAATCATGGGCCATTGAAGATAGTTACAGAAGTAAATGAGAAGACTCCCCAGATGAACAAGGATGAACAAAATGTAGCTGTCAGTTGCTATTGTATATACAAGTGTCTCAAACAGGAAAATAAACTGTTTAACACAAATATAATGTGCATTTTTTTACTAGGATGGACACTGGAAAATTAAAAATTGTGAAGACAGATTATTTTACTTATGTCAAAAAGCAGGCAAGTTTGAAAATGTCACTTCTGAGAAGGAATCGGGGTGTCTAGAGGTAAATTTACTTAGTCTTTGTTTTTAGCTTCAAGAAATGTGATAGGAAATCTATAAATATTGGTATAGAATTTATATGTTTAGTTTTTCACATTAAAAAAATATACTTCAGGTTTCCTAGGAAGAGTCTCACATCTATTGTTTGCTTTAAAAATACATAAACAAAAGATTAATGTAAGATTAAAAGGTTTGTTAGGTTCCTTTTATGGATCATTGCCTTGTTGGCAGTTGTGATCCAAATTCCTATATCTTTCTAGATCAAAAGTCGCAATACTTTTGGAGGCCATCTGTACAAACAATGATTGTTACATGATGCTTTATCTTACACATGTTTTTCATAGTTTTGAGTGGAATGTCAGGGTGAAAAACACTCAGTTTCTTTGATATGAAGAATTAACTTTTACACTCATAGGAAAGCATTCCCTTCATTTTCATAAAACAAAAATGGAGAGGGCATAACTATCTAGGAGCATAAATAAGTGTTCAATCCTTTTTAAACTGTGAGTTACAAAATGATTTGATATTTTGTTATATCCAGTTAAATTCAGGGACTTTCTGAAGTGGGATTAATGTGCTGACTGTTATTGAGTAGAGGCTTACTGTGATATTAAGATCCAGAGTCCTCAACATTGGGATGTGTGTGTATCAGCCTTTCACTTGAGCTAATCTCTAATCTAAAATGTATCAACTAAAAATTTACCATCTTGTTCTAAAGTGTTTAGTGTTATACAGAAGTATGATTCAAGTGGAGTTTAGTAATCTAATCAGAATCCATTCCCTTTTTATGTTTAAAAAGTAGAAAAAGGGGTTATGAAGATAACCAATTACCAGCAATTAATTATGCAGAATCATTAAATTGACATAGACTTGCAACAGGTACTGTCTTTCAAAGGCACGTGATGTCCACTTGTCTCTCAGATTTGCCAGAGAACAGACAAACATGTTGCTAAAAATCTTACATTTCACAAAATGTAAAGAATACATGCATGTTCTGTCTAATGGCTACTACCAAAACAGTATGAATCTCACTAAAGTTACAAGTAGTCAGCTTTTCCTTCTTATTTTATTCAATAACAAATAACTTGCTCTAAATTCTGTAGTACTTATTTGTGGAGAATTTCAGCTGAAGACAGTGACATAGGGAAAAAAAAGTAAGGCAGGAAATTTCACATACATACACTCAAATGTCTGATGATGGGTTAGATGTGAAGTAAAATAAACCAGAGAGAGAAGTGAATAGGGGCAGAATCCCATTCAGTTCACCTGCCCAAATGGCAGTTACCCAGCCACATAAAGGGTGCATCTACACAAGACTCTTTACTGCACAGTAGACTAATTACCTCTCCATAAAGCATCAGCATCTACACATGTGCAGCATTTACTGCACAGTAAATTCGGCTAATACTCAGTTGCCTAGTACCAAGAGATATAGGTACTAACTAGATCAACTACACAGTAGCTACTGCGCAGTAGCAAATATGGAGAGAGCTGACCAGAAGTGGGACAGCTCCTCCCCTCCCCTACCCCCAGCCCCGGCCCTACCCATGTGCTTCCTGTCAGCCTCCTGGGGAAGCCTGGAGCTCTCCCTGACTGCCGCAGGGGGGCAAAGCAGGGCCAGAGCAGCTCTGCACTGAATTGCTCCTGTCAGGAGTAAATTTGCTCATGCTGGGAGCACATGTAGCTGTGTTCCTGGTCACATGTTAATGTGCCTTAAGGTACTGTGCAGTAACCCTAATGCACATTAATTGCATGTGTAGATGCACCTATGTAGTATTTATGGCATTTAGACACAGTGTGCAAACCCTCTCCCTGTGCAGTGTTGCTCTGTATGTGTATAACTGAGCATACATGCTGAAAAGAGGAGGAGGATGGCCAACCATAGTTTAGCCCCAGTAACTGACTCTAACCCTCTGGCATGGTTGTTTTGTCTTTATAAAGCTTTCTAATCTTACTTTTTTTTTATCTTCTACTGATTTGGGGGTTATTTTTCAGACTGATTGGCATATAAAATCTTCTATGTTTCTCATCAACTGATTGTGGTTCTTACAGGGCATTCTTAGCCAGCAGTTGCAGAAGTGGATGTCTTTTTCCCCTCCCTTCCAGAGATTCACTATGCACTATGTGATTTTTTTTGCTAACTCCACTATTAGTTTTTCTAATCACTGAACTGTTAACAGGGAGCAAATCTTTTTGTAACAAAGGTCAACTTCCTTATGCAGTCTTTCTGTATGCTAAAACAAGAAAGTTAAGTGCAGTGGTGGAGCCTGGGCAGGGACAATGTCCCCCTGGCCCGGCAGTAAGGTGCTCCCAGTCCCAGATCTCTGAATGGGTGCAGGGGGCTGGCTAAGAGCTTCAGGGGAGGGGCAGGTCCCAACCCCCTACCCCAATCTGCTGGTGGGGCAGCTAGCAGTGAGCCCCTGGTTGGGCAGGGATTCTGGGGGCTCACTGCTAGCTGCCCCACCAGCAGATCCAGACAGGAGGCTGGGACCTGCCCCTTCCCCGCAGCTCTTTCCAAGCCCTGTGCCTCAATTGCCCAATTGGGGTACAGGGCTGTGAAAAAGCTGCAGGGTTGGAGCCTTCCCTTGAGAGGGTCAGTTCCTGGTTAGCCCTAGGCTGCACAGGGAAGCCCGAAACAGAACAGTCCCCAGCTAGTTCTACGCTGCATGTGCAGACTTCCCTGTGTAGCCTGGGACTGGCTGGGAACTGTCCCAGTTTGGAGCAGGTCCCTGCCAGCTCCAGGCTAGCCAGGGAACTTTCTCTATGCAGGAACTCTCTCCACAATTGTGGAGCGGGGGTGGGGAGCTCCCAGTTGCAGGGGTAGGGGGACATTGTCCCCGCCTGGGCTCTGGTGGTGCAGCCCACCCTGGCAGCAGGGAGATCCCAGGGGCAGAGAGCAATCTCCCACCACCTGCTGCCTGGCTGACCAGGAGCAAATTTGCTGTCTACAGTGCCTTACTGCACAGTAATTACTCAGCAGTTAATTTGCTACTTGCATTTGCTGTACTGCGCAGTAAAGTGTCTTTTGTAGACACACCTAGTATTGCACTACGGTATTGTCATGTCCAACTCTAGCTTTTGCATAGTCAAGGTAAATCCCTTTTCCTATAATTTCATCAAAAATATTTATACATTTTTTCTCTAGGATTGAATTTGACTCTTCCTATACAACCGCTTTCCCAACTTCCAGGACTGAGATAAAATGACACTAATATAATTCTGTTTCCTGCTGTAGCTGGATGCCAGCCAGAAGGGGTAGAAAAGGCACAGGAATGATAATATTCACAGCACGAAAGAAAGTAATTTAGGAAAATAAGTAAATAAAGGAATAAAATAATAAAAGAAATAGAAAAGCAAGCAGAACCTTGTGCTAGTCAGCTTCTCTGTCTTTCTGGATGCCAACCCCATTCATGATGTCAGTTATGCACATACTTTAAGCTTAGGTGCATGTCATGTTGATGTCAATAGAACATAAACACATGCTTTATCATTCAGTCATTATTTTTGTAGTCTTGAATTAGACTAAAAATGGCTGAATAGTCTTAGTGCTTCCTGAAATGAGCACTAAAGTTGGATAGAAGAAAAGCTCTTGATAATAATTGCCACCATTGATCAAATGCATCACTCCTTCAGAAATTTTTGTCAGTTTCTCCCTTCCTCCTCCGCTTTGTTTTTCTTTAATCATCATTAAATTGTGTTTGTAGATTTTTACAACTTTATCGCTTTGCTTCATTTTCCAAACATTTACAGAAGTAGTATTTATCCTATGGAAATGCTAAGGGCTATGGAAATAGCTCTGCTTTCCATACATAGCGCTAAAATGTACAGAGGAGAGGTTATATTTGTTTCTTTGTGTTTGATCATTTAGATCCAGGTAGTCTAGTTATTATACTTGTTTTAAGAACTTAAATACTGCTTTGTGGCACATGATTAATACAGAAAAACCATATCAGACTTTTCAGTACCAAGTTTGCCAACGAAAAAGATTGGAGGAGTGACAGATAATGAGGATTCATAGATTTCATAGACATTAGGGCTGGAAGGGACCTCAGAAAATCATTGAGTCCAGCCCCCTGCCCCAGGGACAGGATGTATCACTTGGTCAGCTGTAAACATAACTGTGCAACAGTGAAACTGTCTTTCATTTATTTTTTCCTTCACTATTGGAGCATGATTTTTTCTTTAAAACATCAAAAGAAATGAGAAGATACTGTATTTAAAAAGAGGAAATGGAAATAATGATAAGAGGTAGATCGCAAATTGTTTGTTTTGCCATGTAAAAGGTCAGCACTGGGATTGCTGGTAGTGTTGAACAAACATTCTGCCTTCAGTCTGAAACAGCTGCAACCTTTTAATACCAATGTTGTTGAGTTTGACAGGCAATGTGTATTCTACAGTTATGATATAAGTTATCTGTAATGAGTTACCACAGCTATAAGCCAACAAGAATTATGAAACATTTGTGCCAAAAGAGACAGGTATCTAAATGTCCTGGCATTCATCCCTAAAACAGAGTCAGTAAATTGATATTCCAAGAGCAAGTTAGGCGGATAGCAGAACATAAATTATTAATATTGTTCCTATGTGCATCATAATAAAGTAGCAGTAATAATAACAAGCACATGCTTCCTGCACAAGCTATTCATGTTTCAACTATTTTAGCTGCCTCAATTGAAATATTTGTTTGTAAACCATCCTGAACCATTTTTTAGTGAGTCTGAGAGAGAGAAAAAAAATAAAGGGTGCATCTCTGTGATCTTTCTGTAACTTAACAAACTTCCCCACCTCTAGAATAATAACATTTTCCATTTGTATTGATTAAAAACACAGAAAAAAAATTGACTGTAAGTTTTTAACTGTTGTTAAACATTTCAAGTTATTAGAAAAAACATATGATTACATATGTGAACCACAATGTACAAAAATAAGCCATTTTCTCTGGAGTGCAACAGACATGATTGTACTCTGTACAAGTATGAATATCAAATCCAGCTAAATTTACTCTTTAAAAAAATTAACTCTTTTTTACATTCTCTTTCTGTTCCCATTTAAATGATTTTTTTTCATGCTTATAACATATAGAGCTAATTTTGGACCTGACTGGAAACAAATTTAAACAAAATCTAAACAGTTTTCTCCTACACTTCCCTGTAAGAGAAGCTATTCTACAAAAGTAGAGATGTAGCATTTACCTTCGAAGAAATAAAAACTTCAGCTAAAAGAAAAGTAACCTTATTGGGCATGAAATCAGAAACCATCTGTAAGAACAGAGATCAGAGCACACCTTTCAAAACCCTGGCTTATGTGAACTACCCAGCACTTAATGTTTCCTATATTTAAGCTATGGTGGAAAGATAATTAGAGTTAATGCAAATATAACTATGCCCTAGTCCTAGTGCTTTATATTAGATGTGCCTGGAGGTTTGATTCCATCATTCTCAGGCCTATGCAGCCAGCTTCTACAGCATGACCTCTCTCAGGCCCTTGCTTTTTGGTTGCTGTTTGTCTGAAGACTGGAATCAGCCTTTTCACAGCCTTTATGTTAAGCTGCTGCTAGTCAGGAAAGGTGTTACTAGTTCCTTTCATACGTCTCAGAGGCTGTCTCTGAATCTTATGGATAGCAACAATTGTGGCCCTCAGACAACTGCAGAAAATATTTTCTCTTCAGTGGTATTTGTTTCCTCTCTTTTACTACCAGAATAGTGACATAATTGGATAAGCAAAATGCTGGTGACCTGGTGTGTAAGGAGGCTTTCTGGAGGAAGGAGGAGAATAAAGTCAATGATGGCTGTTAAGAGTTAGATGTATGCAAGGTCACTGCCTTCCTCAAAGTTTATGCATTTTAAGACTAAAGTGAAATACTGGTTTGCTGAAGTCAATGGCAGAAATCTTGCTGATTTCAGTCAGGCTTGAATTTCACTCTTGGTATTTTGGGTTGGGCCCATTAGACTCCAATTCTGAAGTCTGGATTCAATTTGGGATTCTGATCGAACTTTCCCAAAACATAAGTACACACACACACACACACACACACACACCCCTATTTAACTAACTTATACAAATTTCCCATTTTTACAAAGTGAGCTGTGATATTGGTCATGTTTCATCTCTGTTCAAGCTCTTTTTCTTTTTTATATATTTTGATCTACTTAAAATCTGTACAAACACGCCTCCACATTATGACCTGAATAGCATCATAGCTGTGCTATGAATGATAGGGCTGCTGAAACCCAGATCATCAGACTGTCACCCAGCAATAGTCACAAGGACCTCACCAGAGCAGAAAGAGAAATGGAAGATAACATGAATTGGGATAAAATGTAAAAGTACAAGGAGGCTGTCAGTTTTTTGACAGCCAACCTAACTGTATATATATTTATACTGTATACAATAATGCATAAAAATAATGTTTATTTTAAAGGGATGGGAAAGACATGGTGGATTTTGTTATAAAATCGACAATACCCCACGAAGTTTTGAACATGCTTCCAGTGGTTATTACTGCCCGCCTGCACTTCTAACAGTAAAAAACAGGTACTTAATTCTATTAGTGCAAAGTACTGCTAGCAAAAGCTCTTCTACCTATAAAAAGTTCCGTGTAAAGAAAAAGATTATCATTTATAAGCAAGCTTGCTTTAAAACTGGAATTAATTACTAATGTTCAAAAAAATCAAATGTTCATTTTGTCATTATGTTTACTTCCTGAGTCAGCATAAAGTTTAATAGACAGCAGTTACTGACTTGCTATCTGTGTCTCTGTCTGTCTGTTTAACTGGTACTTTAATTCAAGTGTGCAGGAGTCCAGAAACTTGAATGCTTCCTATACAGATTTACACAGTCTCCAGCCTATGAATCTTTAAAGGTGTACCTAGTAATGTAATTTATATTTTCATATTTAAACTTTATAAATGGTTGTTTAATGTAAAAGAGTTATTATTTTGTGAATTCAGTTCTCTATCATCTCTTCCTTGCTTCTGTTTACTTAGTGTTCAATGTCAATAACAGGCTTTCATCATTGCAGATGTTCAAATACCTGATATTTTCTCTGAGCATGTTTCTGCCTGAGCTACTGCCTGGATCCATACTGCAGTCCATACAGTATGCTCCTATTCAAATCTGAGATATGTATAGATTTCCCAAATTAAGGATTCATGTGCACATTTTTTTACCTGTGTCACTATAATGACTATTGGGGAGACATTCTCAGTTTCTATTACAGCTGATAAGGTTTGTTTTCCTATGGCAAATCCCAAGGTTTTCATGAAAAAATAAATGCTAAAGTATGTTAATTCTGGAACTGTTATGTTTCATGGCAACCGTTGTGTGGCTTCCTCAGGCTACAGTTCCCTTTCAGGGCCATGTTCTTTGGTCAGATGACAACTCCTAGGAAACTGTTCAATTTTGTCTGAAAATGTATTTTTTAATTTTGGAGCCAATTTTCCGCTGAAAAATATTTTAATGGAAAAGTTTCAACCAGCCATAGTTTCTATACAGCCAGTGAGGGAAGATAAGAAAAATAAGTTGGCATTCACCAATCAATCAAATCATTAACAAAGTATGCTGGTGTGGATATGCCACTAGTTAATGGCTCATGGATACAAATGAAATAAGTGGGGTTGTAGGCTTGTTATTTTACTACAAATATAATATCTTTATTCTCTCCATCATAATTAGTTGTGTGAAAAGTCCAATGCTAACAGGTCTCCCTTTGTTGTAAAAAAGTAGCTTGGAGTCTGAGGACAAATGTGACAATGGCAGGCCTGTAATCTGGTTTCTGGATCAGACATCAATATTCTGATCACTGTTTTTTGTGTCCTTTTCTGCCTCTTTGGCTAGGTACAAACTTTACACATAAATCAGTATAAGTGATTGGAAACCAGACTAAACCTGTAACAGAACAGAAGTTCAGCACTCACAGACTGATTTAAAAATGGCAGAACCCAATCTAACCTGGATTAATGTGGTGTCAGATTTAATCAGTTTAGTTTAAACCGGTCTATCAAACTTCTGTCCCAGATCCCCTCCCAACTCAAGTTAGATTGCAATCCCCCAGGATCCCAGGCTGTTTTGTGGGTCCCCACTAAACTGCCCTCACAGAATGGGCAGGCTAACATTGGCCTGCACTTGTCTGCTCCAGCTGAGTGCTGGGCCAGCCCCACCCCTGGGCTGTCACAGAGACAGCAGGAGCCAGGACTGAGCGCCATGCAGCAGAAACACAGGGAGGGAAGCAGAGGCCAGCCCAGGTCCACCTAGACCCAAGCAAGCACAGCTGGGGTGGGGGATGTCCCTCCCTGCACTGCTGCTGACAGCCACTGCTGGACAGGGCAGGGGTGGGGAGAGAGGCTGCTTTGGAAGGCATGAAGGAGGGCCCCCCACCTTCTGGCTTCTGCCAGTGCAGTCATCTGCATGCCCTATCCAACCAAAGGGTGAATGTATGTTCTGTTTGCGCCCAATCTAATCTCTGCAGAGAAATCTCTTGGAGAAACCTGCATAGGTTTGATTGATTCTGCTTCTGGCTTTTTGAATGTCTGTAACTAGCCCTAGTGTACTTGCTACTTCTCTATTGTATTAAATATGGATGGATGCCTTTATCAATGGGAATTGAGGGTATTTTGAAAGATGGAAACCCTCAGACCTTTACCTGACAAGGTGCTTAGCACTCTGATTTCATGCTAGGAATGAGCAGCAATATATTCTTGACTTCAGTATAATTACTCTTATCCTTAAAGTTAAGTACATGCTTCAACATTTTGTTGAATTAGGACTGGAGTGTGATGCTGCTTTCTCGATGAACCTCTATATGAGTACTGCTCAAATACAGAAAATGTGTAACAATTGCCTTTTGTGTATTATTTTATCATATGTGATAAAATATTTAAATATATGAACTTTCTAACCAAATATTAATGAATTTATTCATATCCTGTATTTGTTATGGTCAAAAGACCGGTTTGCCTTTGGTCAAACTATAGTGGATTTACTTTGGTCATAGTCCAGATATTGTATCCAGAAACTGTAAATCAATTTGAACTTGGTTGTGAAGGAATAGTGACCTTTCCGCATACATGTTGAGAATGTCCTGAGATAATAGTGTTATGGAATAAAATAATAAATAGAATTTACAGAATCTCCTAGCTGTTCCATTGTGGAAAGGAGACTATGAAAGAGATTACAGTGCAAACTTTTGCATGGGGGAAACAGCCAGGTATAACACAGTGGGCGCATCTACACGAGATACCCACTGCACTATTGTTACTGCACAGTCATTTAGTACTTGCATAACCAAGTACTAAATGACTGTTCAGTAACCTACACAGTAACATCCTGGGTTGGTTGCCTAGTGATGCTTACTGCGCAGTAGCTTATTACAACTGCACAGTAGCTTTGTGCCTGGCAGTGCTACTGTGCGGTAGTAACAAGCTACTGTGCAGTAAGCATCTCATGTGGACATGGCCAGTTACATTTAGAAGCCAGTTGTATGATAACTAGTTTTGTGGAAAGGACAGATTCCTACATTATTTGTGGCATGGAGAAACAAAATCCTTTCAGATGATCCTTGCTAATCCTAAACAAGAATAAGAACATAGTTGTCCAGAGCACTGATTTTAAAATCAAAGTGTTAAGTTAATAGGAATTTTGCTTGTAGGTCTCTTACTGTCACCCTATGAATATGCAATGGATAGCTTAGTAAAAGTGTAATTCACATTATGAGGAGACAGGTTAAGTTTCTACAGTCAGTGGTTGCCTCTACACATGCAATTAATTTGCAGTAAGGTTACTTCTCAGTAAAATAAGACACAGTAAGATGAGGCTGCGAATGCATCTACATTTGTGCAGATTTACACCCAATGGGAGCAGCGCAGTACAAGGCTGCTCCTTCCCTGCTCTGCCCCCATACAACAGCTAGGGGGAGCTCCACGCTCCACTGGGTGCCAGCCTGGGGGCTGGCAGGGAGTACAGGGGCCAGTCCTAATGTGCATGAAACCAGGGGAGTATTGCCGGCTGCAGAGGCAGCTGTCTCCTGGTCCGGTGCATATCAGGACCCACCCCAATGCACACAGGGCCAGAAGAGCTGTACCAGCTGCAGGGACCCAGGTCCCAATGTGCACAGGGCTAGGAGACAGCTGCCTCTGCAGCTAGCACATCTCTCCCAGCATTGAGGCTTAGGCAGGCAGCAGTGGCCCCCTGCTGCCTTGGGCAAAATTGTGCTACTGCACATTGCCTAATGTGTTGTTTATCTAGTTTCTGTATGTGTTGGTACTAGCAAACAGCCCATTAGACTAATGTTCGGTAAGTCCAGTGCACATGAAAACAGTGATGCTTTACTGTGCATTAGGTTAATCTAATGCACAGTAAAGTGCCTCGTATAGATGCACCCAGTGAGCATCTACAACTCTTATTAGCATCATCCAGGTTGTGGGCACTTTGTACCCCACAGAAGGCACACGGGTAGTATTATTCCTCATGATACATCATTTATCATTGTTTTAGTTATTTGTTTCCAGTTGACATATTGCACTTTCTGAGAAAGTGGTTGTTAACATGTAACATGGCATTTCACTGTTTAGGGTCTTTGTCCTTGTATGGCAAGTACAAGTGCTTTTCTTCAGAATAAATCATGCTTAGAAGATACCAAAAATTATTCCAAATTAAATCATTAAATAGCGTTAAAGAACTTGTTTGTAAGAAAGAGGACTGGTGTATGGGAAGATGGGCAGAACTGGTATAAAATTAAAATTATACCAGTGTAAAATTATACAGTGTAAAATTATATTTACAAAAAGAAATTAGATATGAGATAGACAAAAAAATTAGGTGAATTAGATATGTAGGTCCTAATCCTGAAAAGATACCCATGTGTTTAACTTTACACATTATGGTCATTTAGACAGAAGTCAGTATTTCTGTTTGCAGTGTGTGAAGTTAAGTTTGCGTTAAGTCTTTGTGGAACTGAGGCCTCAGTGTGCTGGATATAATTTCACAGGAACCTGATTAATTATGGTTCTAAGTGAATGCATGCATTTGTATAATGTAGTACCAATAATAACTGAATGAATAGTATTTACATAGCAAAATCAGGGCTATATATAACTTTTACAGTGGTATATAGTTTAAGTATTTAAATATTCTGTGGAATATCTTCAAAATGCTAAAATGAGGAAAGTCACTTTCCTTTTGCAGATATCAGAACTGCTGGTACAGTAGGTCATTCAGTATTAACTATTCACTGCTAACTATTCAGTGTCCAAAGAAGAAATATTTTTGTGCCAATATTTCTTTTTTTCCCTTGTGCTGTCTCTCTGATTCTTTGAACTTTTCAGGAATGGGGAGATTCTTCTAATATCATCCATATACAACTAGCAGCGACTATAGATGTTTCTTAATACAAATAAGCTCCTGAGTATTTTTCTCATCTTCGTTAATTAATTTGTAACTGAGATATGGATTAGGATATCTTACTATAACATGATTTTTTATCCTGATCATTTTTAAAGGTTTGAACAAGCTTTTATCAACAGTATAATCTGTGGAATGGTGAAAACTGAGGAAACTTATTTTTGGATAGGACTACAAGACCTTAACAATACTGGAGAATACTCTTGGCTAATGACAGATGGAAAGTATCAGCCTGTGAGCTATACAAACTGGAACAAGTATCAGCCACGTGAGTAATTTGTTAAAATAACAAATGTAAATTTTGGATCAAACTCGAAAGTTTGCCATTAATCCCACTACCCTTCCTGAATTCCCAACATCATTTTTCCTTGTTTATTCTTGCCGTCCAAGAGGCCTACAAGGTCATGTTCATTTCAGACTGGAGTAACTTTACAGACTGCTTAGAGACTGTATAAGTGCAACTCTGCAGGGGCAGCACAGAGAATGAACTGAGAATTCCTCCCTTTCTCCACTCTTGTCCAGGATGGGGAAAGTGAGTTACTACACTCTTTTCTACAGGACAACTTACTCTACAACATGTACCCAGCCAGGAAACCTTACCCTCTGGGAAGGCTCGGGGATGCACCCAGGGCCTCTTCCATACCTTATTCCTCTCTGCCCCCTCCCTGTCCATTTGTTCTGTGTGGAATACCAGGAAAGTAGCTGCTGTTTCCTTCTTCTGTGTGGCAGGGTAAAGATGTGGCAACCTATCCTTTTATTACCATTGGCAGCTAATCCGTGAAATGTCAAGAGTAACTGCACAATTGTTTCAAACCTAGATTCCATTTCCAGCTGTTTTCTCACTTATCCTCAATTTGGGAGGTCTGGAAGTACTGTGAATCAGTGGTGCTCAACTTTTTCGCTGGCAGGAGATATGGCCAGTGCTCAATCAGTCTGCTAGCCAGATCCAGTTCGTGGTCCCTGTCCAGTGCCCAGGACAGTTGTAGCAGGGTCCTATTCAGTTGTTTGGAGGGCAGGGGTACAGCCCAGCCCTGCAGGGGAGAGCGGTGTGACCTAGCCCCAATCCAGACACAGGGGAAAGGGGGTATAGCCCAGCGCCAGTCCAGCTATGTGGGGAAGGGGGCTTGGCCCGGCCCCAATCCACCTGTGGCAGGAAAGGTGGCATGGCCCGGCCTGGATCTGGCTGGTGGGGGAGGGGTTGTGGCTCAGCCCCAACCTTCTGCTTGGGGCTTGGGGTTTGAGGTTTGGGAATTTGGCGGGGGTGAGGGGGGGTGGCAGTGCCACTACTCCCCTGCAGTCAAATTTCGCGGCCTGTGGAAAACCCCACAGACTGGATACAATGGTCACAGAGACTTTGTCCTGTGGGCTGGAGGTTGATCACCCATGCTGTGAATAACGACAGCTAGTTTACAGAGAGGATCTTAATGTCCTCCACCAGTGAGCCCTGGAGATAGTGCCAGGGATCTGAGCATTCTCCCAACTCCTGTTAATATAATTAATTTAGGTCATTAATATTCATAGTTCATAAATTTATACATTTTAAACAATGATCAAGAAGGACAAGGTAGTTGGGATATATTTGTGGACCCAACAACAAAACTGTAACCAAGTGGCAGTATTTTTATTTCCTATCCCTGAGTAATTATTATGTTCTTCTGTTCAATTTAGGTCTGATAGTAATTGATACAAAAGCAGGGTTTCTTTTAATAAGATAAAAATGTAAACTATTTTTAAAGGCAATAGTAGCTCTTCAGATGTGACCAGTGATTTTGGGTGCCACATGTTTTAGAGACCCACCTTGAGATGCCTCAGAGGAGCTTGATGTTTAGAACAGGCTGAAACTGGGGCCTCTTCAAAGTAGAAACCCAAAAATTGAGGCACTCAGGATCATTAGCAGGGATCCGGGTTTTCCCTGATAAAAAATCACAAATTCTGTGATAAAACCCTCCAAATCCATTATTAAAATGAAAGGCTGATATATATATATAGGTATCAGTTGAACACAATGTTTTCTTGATATATTTACAAATTTAAACCAGTTTAAATCAAATCCAACCCAAAATCAAATACCAAAATGCCCTGGCGAGGCTGCAGCAGGGGTGGCAGCACAAGGTTGTGCCCCTCACTGCTGCAGGGAGCATCTTGCCAGGGCAGCATGGAGCTCTCAGCAGAACTTCCCGATGCCTTGCTGTTCCCTGAAGCACCAACCAGCTAGGCTGCAGAGGCCCTGGGGGAGGGCATCAGGGCAGGGAGCCCAAGCCTGTAGCGGACAGCCCGCTCCACCCCACGCACAGATCTGGGGCATACTCCCCTACCCCCCTGGGAGTGCTCACAGCACCAGGGAGTCAGCCCCACTCCCTGCCCTGCAAATGAGCTGCCTGTGGCCCCATCCTACTCCCCACCAGGGCCCTTTGACCACGCATTGCAGCCCCAAACCCCACGTACCACCCAGCTGACCAGCAGCCTCAGACAGCCCTGCCCAACTCCCTTCTTGCCTACAGGGGCCTCAATAACGCCCCCTGCACTTACATGCACATGGTGCCCCCTGCCTGACCACCTTCCTCCTGCTCCTCCCCAGCCCCTTACAGGCTGGGACTCTGCCAGCCTGCAGAGAGCTCTTTGCAAAACTGCAAAATCCATGGGTTTCTCTGTTAAAATTAGAAATCTGTATTTTCCTCAGGTAAAGGGGGAAATCTGCATTTTTTTTCCATTCTCCCTTGGGAAATGGAAAACCTGGATCCCTGATCATTAGTCGCTTCTGAATATCTTGGACCCGCAGCTTGCAAAAATACTACTACATTTTCTTTCCCACCTTTCCTAACAGGATCCTTTGTTATGGCCTCTTGTTTTACAAGTTGAATTAGCCAGAACAGGCTAATAAATTGATTAGTGGAACAGGAAATTCACTACTTAATACTCTCCATGCCTTTGCCCGGGAGCAATAAATTAATAAATTAATCGTTTCAGACTGAGTTCACAGTTTTATCATAATGTTGATCAATGAGTAAAAGCATACTCTATATGACCACTTAACTAACACAAAACCATATTAGAAAAATGATGTAAATCTATTTCAGTGCATCTGACAGGCTTGTAAAAAATGTCCAGTGTTATTGATGAAGCTGTAGCCTGGAACCGAGATATTTTATTCTGATATTAAGTGCCCTTCTTCTGTTTTAGGCCATTCTGGACAGTGTGTTGTTATTCGAGGAGGGCAATCTCTTGGATTTTGGGATGTGAAAAGCTGCAAAAGCTTCAAAGCTATGTCACTGTGTAAGCAGAAAATCAAATCATACGAAGAAACCGAGCCTAAGTATGGAAGGCCTGTCACTTCTTGTTACTTTGGATGGGAATCAAATTCTAATCTGCTCAACTGCTACAAGGTATAAAATAACAAAAAAGGCTTACCTAAATCTCTTGATTTGTGTATTTTTATCTACTGTTCCTTAATATCACTATTTGAATGAAAAAGTCTTTATTTCACTTGATCTTTTCCCTCTTGAAATGGACTAGATTGAAAAGTCATTGGCACCATTTATAATGTGTTTCCAAATAAACAGTTGCCTAAATAACTATACTGCCAGGAATACATACCTAGCAAAGTGTATATTTTTATTGCAAAGGCAAACAGCACTGCCTAAACTTTTTTTCAGAGATTTCTGAATCACTAGTAAAAAAATGATTGTTTTAAAAAACTGTATTTTACTATGCAGATATTTCACAGTGAAAAAGTCCTGAAGAAAAGAACATGGGGTGAATCAGAAGCATTATGCCAAGATTTTGGAGCACACCTTGCCAGTTTTACCCATGTCTACGAAGAGGAATTTTTGAATAATTTATTAAGCATGATATTTGATCGGTAAATATGTATATAATTTAGCATTAACAAAGCTTTTTTAATTTGAAAGAAAAGAGTGCTATTTATCCCCTTTTGATCTCACTGATGATGGCCAATAGCTGACATTAATTTCCCTCACCGACTGAAGAACTTGAGATAAATATATTAGTCCAGAAGCAACACAACAGTGAATTCTAATACAATTCCTTTGAAAGATAGAATCATAAGTTAAGAATGGATTTCAAGGGTTATCTGCTCCAACTCCCTACACAAATAATGGGTCTGCTATTTCTTCATCTCCAGTGAAGGAGATTCTGCAAGTTCCCTAAGCCTGCTCGTCTCATAGTAAGTCTTACAGGACACTGATCTACTTTGCTGTAATCTAAACTCACTTTTTTATGTCCTGTTTCTGTGACAAGGGAGAACATTATTTTTTCCATCTTCCTTCGGCACTCCTCCAAATATTTGAAAACTGACACCTTGTTTGCCCTTCCCACCACCTTACTTTCCATAGATACATAGATTGTAAGGGGCTGGAAGGGACTTTGCAAGATCATCAGGTCCAGCCCCCCTGCACTAGGCAGGAAAGATAACTGGGTTCAGGTGACCCCAGCAAGGTGACTGTCCAGTCTCCTCTTGAAGATTTCCAGGGTAGGTGATTGCACCACCTCTGGAGGGCATTTATTTCAGTCTGTACACCCTAACTGTGAAGAAGTTTTTCCTACTATTAAGCCTGAAACGGTCTTCCAGGAGTTTGTGGCCATTACTCCTGGTTTTCTCCAAGGTTGCCCTGGTGAACAGTTGTTTGCCGAACCCTTAATGTATTCCCCTGATATAGCAGTAAGCTGCTACCAAGTCCCCTCTCGGCCTTCTCTTTTTTGGGCTGAAGAGTCCCAAGTCCCTCAGCGTTTCCTCATATGGCTTGCCTTGCAAGTCTGTGATCATACGGGTGGGTCTTCTCTAGACTCCCTCAAGCTTTTCCACATCCTTGTTGAAGTGCAGTGTCCAGAACTGGATGCAGTACTCCAGCTGCAGTCTCACCAATGCTGAGTAAAGCAGAAGAATCACTTCCTTGGTTTGAGATGCATTAGTTGATGCTTGCCAGAGTATTGTTTGCCCTGCTGGCTACAGCACTGCACTGACAGCTCATGTTCATATTATGGTCTATTATTACACCTAGGTCCCTTTCAGTTGTGGTGCTAGTCAGTATGGCACCACCGAGCCTTAAGTATGTTGGGGATTGTTCGTCCCCAGATGGAGCACTTTACAGTTCTCTGTGTTGAACTTCATCTGGTTCTGATCTGCCCAACTTGCCAGCCTGTTGAGGTCCGCCTGCATCTGTAGCCTATTTTCAAGTGTGTCCATGCTCCCCCATAACTTGGTGTTGTCTGCGAACTTAGATTCATAGATTGATTCATAGATTCATAGCTTAACCAGTGAACTCTTCACTCCCGCATCCAAATCATTGATAAAAATGTTGAAAAGCACTAGACCAAGCATGGACTCCTGAGGGACACCACTGGCCACTTCTTGCCAGGATGACACAGATCCGTTCATTAGAATTCTCTGGGTCCAACCCCACAGCCAACTTCCTACCCACCTAACTCGAGCAGTTAAGTCCACAATCCTCCAATTTTCCTGTGAGAACATCATGGGATAACAGATCAAAGGCCTTTTGGAAGTCTAGGTATACAATGTCAACCTCCTCTCTCTTATCCAAGTGGTAAACTACCTGGTCGTAAAAGGAGATGAGATTGGTAAGACAGGACCTGCCTGCAATGAAGCAATGCTGGCTGTCATTCAGAATCCTACCTTCTGCTGTACATAGACTCCTTGATGAATTTTTCCAGGATTTTCCCTGGGATAGACGTTAAGCTAATTGGCCTATAGTTGCCCAGGTCTTCTCTCCTCCCCTTCTTGAAGATGGGCACATTGGCCCTCTTCCAGTCTTCAGGGACCTCCCCTGAGCGCCACGAGTTTTGGAAGAGTTTTGCCAGAGGTCCTGCGATGACTTTGACCACCTCCTTCAGCACTCTCAAATTAAGGTCATCCAGCCCTGCTGAGTTATAAATGTCTAACTTTTCTAACTGATCACACACCAGCTCAACGTCAACAGGAAGAAGGCGGTCATTCCCACCACGCCCATTCTGAACCTTATCTAATATGATTTTCCTCTTAGTCTGGTGATATACCGAAGCAAAGTAGTAATTCAGGAGTTCAGTTTTCTCCTGAGTGTTGGTAACCAGCTGTCATGAGTTGTTAAGCAATGGCCCCATGCTTCCATTTGTTTTTCTCCTGTTCCCTATATACCTAAAGAAGGATTTCTTATTGTCCTTGATTTCTGTCGCAGTTTAAATTCAGTTGCCAGCTTAGTCTTTCTAATCTGCTCCCTACAAGTGCGGGCTGTTGTTGTATAGTCCTCCTTGGGGACTGTCCCAAGCTTCCATTGTTTGTATGTCTCTTTCTTCTTTCTCAAGAGGACCATGATATCCCTATTAAGCCAAAAGGGCTTACCAGCCCTTCTGCTACCTTTCCTCCATATGGAAAAGGACTTCTTTTGTGCATTGAGGATCATGTCCTTGAGGAATGACCGCTCTT